ATCTTAAACGATTTTAACTCAAAATTTTGTTAGATTACCAAATATAGATTATTGCTTTTATACACTATGGTTTATCAAACTGGTCTTTATTTTTTCTCTATGCTCTAGACATGGATTGTGAGAAATCGGATGTTGTCGAATATTTTATAAGAAAATGTACGATGCAAATCTTCTTTTATTCAGTAGGTGAGTCGATAAAATATCCCATAAAATAAAACTATAGAAAATAATTAATTTATGGGGAAGAAAAAAAATGTATGGACAATATCTAAAGATGGTTTCAAGTTGCTTCGTCTTTTTTGGGTGTCTGGTTGCTTCAATTATGTGACTGATGTCGGGCCAAAAATGACACTCAAGATCCCATCCATCAGTTTAAAAGTTATTTTGATTCTCTATTTTATGCTTTTACAATTTTTACTTTCAAGATAAGTAATCGGTATCAGTTTTGTGACTTTCGTCTGTTTTACCATCCGGATTTAAACTCGTATTATAAATACACGATAGAAAAAAAGTCACCACGACGAACCATGGAAAAAAGTATGAACCCTAAACCTTGGACCTATTTTGGGCTTTTTAAGATGCATGTTTTTGGGGCTATTTCATAGAATTGAGGTGGCATTTCTATTTTAAGATTCTTAATCATATTTTTTTTCTTATATTTGAAACTTATTTCTCTTAAGAAAAAATTGTTTCTAGTATACTTTCTAGTTTCTACAGTGCAAATTGTTTGTAGTATAATTTAATCATATTAGATTTCTTTTAAAACGGGCCACACCAAGCGTTTCGAAATCGTCAAAGATCTTAACCATACTAGATCCAACGGTTGAAAATATAGATGTTTCCCAACAGTTACAATGTTCAAGAAGAAATGGTACAAAAGTAGAGGATCCCACATTCTGACATGTTTCGAATCAAGTGGCTTGGAACCACGTGGAAAATGTATATATGCCACGTCACTATTTGACATTTGACTCTTATTTTTCTTCCAGATAAAGTTAACTATCAAAAGAATTTATCAAGGTAAATTGGGTTGAATAACAAAAAAAAATCTATAATCAAACATCTAACCATTTAATTGATATAGTTAGACCAATTATGTTAATTTTTGTTAGATTATTAATGATTAATTGTTTTTGGCTAGTGAGCCAATCAACCCATTTATTAAGTAAAAAATTTGAAAAAAACACGAAAATGAAATAGAGACAGAATTTAAATCTGTAAAATAATTTTGACCTTTAACATTATTTTTGAAATACACTATTTTTTTTTATGTGGTTTGGTCTCATTCAATTATTCAATGATTTTTCAGTTTTGATTTCACGTTTGTAGATTTAAGAATAATAAAAGTATAAAACTAATCGGTTTACATATAAGCATTTTCTTTTGTTTCAGTTTCGATTTAACTTTTTCAATTTGGTTCCATTAATTTTTTTCCCTCCTTGACTATTAATCCTGGTTATTAGCTAGAAAGGATAAATATGATAATAATATTAACCAGAATTTTTTTTATAAAACCGGTTCAATCAGAAGCTGTTACAAGTCTCGCTTCTAAACCACCTCTTCTAATCCAATTGCTATATTGTAACAATTGGATTGGGCGTAACCTCATTACATGTCAAATGGAACCAATATCTCAGTAACTCTAGCCGTGGACTGGAACGGGGGGTTATAATCCGCGACCAAATACGCTGGTGACTTTCCTTTGCTTTTTTCGATGGGCGCAATCCACTCGGTGCCATGGAGACTAGCCATTAGAGCTACAACTTCTTCCTTGGCTACTTCATCAGTCACGTAACCACCAATCTGTCTCACGGCTACGAAGCTTGGTTTCCATCTTTGCACCTTTAGTCCCTCAGCTTCAGGAGGGTTCTGTTGGTTCTTCTTCGGGAGGTAGAAGAAGACGGTGTAGTCTGATTTTCTCGGTGTTGTTTGTGTGATCACTGGAGCTGTCATGTTTAACTTCTCCTTTCTCTTGTTATCTCCATGTATGTAACTAAATAATCTACAACCCCCAAAATGAAATAAATTTTAGTTTTAGTATTTTTTTTTATAACCAAAGTAGATCATGGGCCAAAACCCATATCAATATTCGAAGCTTGGTATATTGGTATGGGTTTTTGTTTACCAAAAAAAAAAAATTCGAAGCTTGTAACAGAAAAATCGTGATTTTCAGTTTTAGATCCATACACATAAAACATATATAGTTATTATACTCACATTCGGCTTATGAAATATAGAAACCAAAAAACCAATAAGTTTTTATGAATAATGTGAGTTTCGTCCTAGAATAAACTCCGGCAATAAGAAAAGAAAAAATGAATCAATATACTTTTAAAATCAAACAATTAATTTTGAATCGAAGTCCCAATAATTCCACCTTTCA